CATTGTATTCCTTTTTTCCTCAGGCACAACACCCCCACAACTTGGAACAGCTCTTCTCAACATGAACCCCACCACCCTCCCCACCATAGTGGGCTCTCCCACGTCCAAGTTCCCTCTCACCACGGCGGACAGTCCGGCAGCGGCGGCCATGGTGGTCCAGACGACCCCGGGACAGTCCATGAGAGACGGCGCGGTGGTGTCCCAGCTGCAGGGCTCCCGTGTACGAGCAATCACGCCGTCAAGTATTGCAGAGTGGAGCAAGTCTCCGCTGTTCAAGGGACAAGGAAGCCGGACAGGTAGGAAACCTTGGAAACAAAATGTGACTGTAACAATCAGTTTTGTCAGTTCACATAAGGTAGATAAGATAGTTATGAAGAATTTTGGGTACAGAAGTATTGCTTTGGGTGGCTGAGCTGTGGGTTTGTGTGTGTGATGTTAAGCATTGGCAAGTTCAAGTATGATTCCATTTCTCTCCCACCTTGATCTTTAAAATCGTTGTTCCGTCCTCCCACAGGTATGGGCAGAAGACAGCTGTCGTTTGGGAATGCCTCCAGTTTGCTGCGGGCGGCGTTTGGCAGTCCCAGCGGCAGCACGGGCGGGGCCTCATCCTCCGGCAGTATGGAGGTGTCTGTACCTGTCAGGAGCCAAGGTGGGAAGGCTTTGTATTGCCAGAAACAATAGAAATACAAAATTTTCAACATGTCATGATTTCACATTAAGAGAAAAATAAAACCACTTCAAAAGTAAATGTGTTTGCAGTAAGCTTTTGCACATACTGCCCAAATAGAGTGCAAGATTGTGTAACAAAGGTTAGAAATGGCACTCATGATAACGATGGGTAACTGTCTTGTCGTCCCCTCCCCCCAGGTGCTACCGGTGTGTCCCCACCCTCCTCCATGTCCCCGCCCAGCGGTGGTGCCATGACGCAGTTCAGGAGGCCGTCCACCCCCGGAGCCATCATGGCATCTTCCCCTGACATGGAGGGTCCCATCTCATTTGTGGCACCAGAACTTCCAGAGGAAACTCTTCTAGAGGTATAACACATTGTTTCTGTATCACTCAATTGCTCAACATTTACTAGATGACATGATCATAAATTTTTGCTTCAGATTCTGATGCAAGAAAAACATTTTGTAAGTTTTGGTCCTCTAGCAGCTTGTTCTGTAACTGCAGGGGCATCCTTGATAAAGTTAAATCTCACCTACAGTCAAACCTGCCTATAGTGGTCACTCAAGGGACTGGCCAAATTTGACCACTATGGCCAGGTGACCACTATAGAGAAACAGCCGGTTAGTTGAACCCCCCCCCCAAAAAAAAAGGGACACATGCTTTGAGTACCAACAGTGATGTCTTTATTCTGAAACATATGAATACATACATTTGCAAAGGTAAACCCCTTTTATGTGTACATGTCTTAGTTCAATAATTTGTTGTTCTTTTGCTTTAGTTGTACTTTATTTTGTACTTGCTTGAAAAAAAAAGAAATACAGAATCATACAGAAATATTGCATGGAAACATTAACTTGACATCAAAGATACATACACTCAACATATTCAGTTCATCTACTTCTGGGACAATGAAACCATTCACATTAAAACATACAAAATCACTGGTTGTCATTTACTGTTCTTGTGTACATACTAGTACTACATGTGGCTAAAGAAAAGAAAGCAAATCAAGCAACAAACTTTCAACTCCAAACAAATTTCTATCGACTGCAAAATCATTTAATCTAAGCTCAGCTTTCGACGATTTCTTCTCACTCTATCTGCCAGTCGGATCACATCCACCTTTTGGAATAAGTTCGGCGTCTGTCTTTCCGCTTTCGCCATCGTTTCTCCGCAATCGCCACGTTACTAGTAGTTGTTGTTGTTGTTAGTCGAAAAGTGGAAGAGAACGACATCGCCATGTTTTTGTTCTTTGGTGAACACTTGCTTCGCGCGACCGACATACGCCACAGCGAATTCCAACCACGTAAATAAGTTATTTTGTACCAAGATGCTGTCTATTTAGTTAACAGCAAAATAATTGTTCGTCAGTTGCCAGTTACTTTCCGATTTTGGTCGTTTTTGAACATGAAAACTTAGCGAAAACTCTCCTTTGTTTACGGCTTGGGTTTCTCCCCGCGTGGGTTGTCTGCCTCTACCATTATGCCAATGTGGTAGTCAACAGAAAATTTTCTCCTTTCAGACTTATATCTTTTCTAAAATATCCACTACAGTGTTAAAACTACATCTAAAATTACTTGTAGTAATGTATTTCAAATGTTTTCATAATGTAATTACGTCATTTGACGCTAATAAAGTTAAATAAAACTCGGTGTATCTACCTCCATAACAGTGGAATCTCCGATGACCCCAATTGACCTCCCTCTGCAGCTAACATGCGCCATCTTGGAAAAATACGAAACGCATTTTCGAGCCAAATTTCTTGAATTATGCCCATGAAAAACGGAAGCTATGCACATATCTACGCATTTCAAGGAATCGAGAAACCAAATATGGATATTCTTAAGTTTTTTTGTGAAGATAATTGCCGTAATCTTCGCCGAGCGGCCGAGTCCATTGAAAGCTCCAATGCGGCACGCACGGCACTGGTGTTGGGGAAAACGCAGATATCAAAGACACCCGCGACCGCAGAAACTTCGTGTCAAAAGCCAGTTTTCCTTTATTTCATACACATATGGAGTCTAATTTTCAGTTCACATTTTAGTAATGTAGCGATCGGAAAACTATCACAAGGCTCATAACGGTCGTAGCCCGAGGTGGGGTGGTGTTACGGCCGTGGTGCTTAGCGGGTTACGGCCAGCCCCGACCGCTATCGGCGGTGTTGACATGCCGGCGGGACCGGAATGGGGTGACCGCTGACCGCGTTGAACAGTGACCGCTATAGACACGATTCTTAATGCTTACGTCAATGGGAAAAATTCAAGGGACCGGCAAAAACTGACCGCTATGGCCGAGTGACCACTATACAAAGGTGACCGCTATTACAGGTTTGACTGTATGTGTTTTCTCCTTGTACAACCAGCCTGCCCATAACGAGACCCTCCAGCGGATCCACTTTGCGCTGATCCTGGGGGAGTGCATCATGGAGGTGGCGCAGTCCAAGGGCGCGCCCGGCGCCTCGCTGACCGAGTCGCTACAGGTCAAACAGAACGAGGACTTCCAGTCCGACCAGATCTGCTTCGTCAGCGAGGGAGTCCGGTAAGCGCTCAAATCTCTTTCTCACTTCTAACCAGTGAGACTGGCTTTCAACAATGTGTGTTAGTAGGTCAGTTCATTGAGTTGTTAGCATGATAATTCCAGAAGTTTTGAATGGATTTGTATCCATTTGTGTGTATGTCCTTGTGTGTGAGTGTGGACAGTGTTCAGCACCAAGGACAGGTCTGTAAGCCTGTGGATTTGTACCCTTAACTTGTGCTGATTAAGTTGCGTCAACATGTCTCAGTATCAGGAATGATAAATGTAGATAGTAAAGGAATAATTTAGTTCTTCAAACTGTAATACTGTAATTTCATATCAATAATCAAAGTTCTTTCTCTTTCTGCCTGCAGGCGAGCAGAGCAGATTGTTCTGTACATGCGCGCCACACAGCTGTTCTCTTCAGCACTGCAGCATGCCAGGGAGGAGGTTAGGGCTAGCCAACTGAAACCATCCAAGGCTGTGAAGGAGAGGGTGGCCAAACTTAACGACAGGTAACCGAATCCCTAGAGATGGACTTCTAGCATCTTCATTATACACTTTGACCTGCCATACCCTGTCACTTGGAGCCTGGTTACATACATCGTGCAGCGGTGGACATTCCTGTGATAGCCTTGCATGTGTGCTGCAAAATTCAGCTGTTTTGTTGCAGAAAAGGCTGCCCTAGATACTTAGATATTTGATTTCTTGTTCCATAGGTACAAGGAGTGTATCCGAGCGTGTAAGACCCTCCACGAGCAGGGCGACGTCAAGATGGCGGAGATCAGCGCCAGTATGGCCAACATGACGGCCGACAAGCTGCTGTATAACCACGCCGTGGAGTGCTGTCAGGGCGCCGCGCTGGATGAGCTGTTTGGTAACCCGGGGGAGTGTGCCAGCCGCTACCGCACCGCGCTCATCCTGCTGCACGGCCTGGCACTCACCATAGAGGATGAGGACGACAGGGGCATGCTGTTGAAATGTAAGTTCTGTGTGTAGATCTGGATCCTGGACCTAAAGGCTCTAATACCCACCCAACTGTTCATAACAAGACGCACTAACAAGGGTCTGAACATTAGTTACACTTATAGTGTTTACTGCACCTTTCAGACCAAGAAATGTAGAAATAAAAGTGCATAACTCACATATGTATTGTGTTCTTTTCTCCTGGGATCATCTAATTACTAGTACATGTATACATTGTACATTCAAAAAGGCTCAGACTATCAGTGATAGCTTTGATTCTCCAATGCAATTTTGACATTCTTTCCCTCTTGTTTTCCAGATTCTGATGCAGTTGACAAGAGGCTGACATGCTTAGAGAAGGTCCACCAACCAGTTCTTGTGTTTGATTAGGAACTTGGCACTGGTATTGCCAGACATATTACAGGTCTTCTGATTGGTTAGTGTTGATGACAAGATTAAGAATCAAACTACCTTGCCACTTGAGTATGTTCGGTGTTCTCGTTTTGAAGTTGAGAATTCAGACAAATGTTGTTACTCAAATATATGGTACAATGGTAGGTTGCTTTGATTCTAAACATCATAGTGTTGTTAGTCATGTATTTATTGGGCATTCATGTTATGAGGGGTAAATACATAGGGGATAGGCAGGCTCACTATTAGTGTAGTGTTGAATTTTCCAGTGAGAAACTCAGTTTAGCATGAAAGTTTATCTGTGTAGCTACGATGTATACAACCTCATCAAAATGATTGAACCATTTTCCAACTCAAAGACGAGTCTAGCCTTTGTGTTGGAAAATAGTTTCATCTTTTCCATAAGAAACACAGTTTGTAAGATTGGGCAGTGATTTCTTCAAAACGTTTGGAATGTGTGACAAGCTGTCCTCTATGTGATGGCATGCAAACTTTGATGACCTACACTGGTCAGAGCCATTTACCTTTACGTTCTGATGCTGTAGATTACTATGAAGAGTGGACATTATGAAACATTCATTTTCGACGGTGTCACTCAAAGATATGACAGTGAAAACGCACCCTTAAATATCACAGCACCAAAGAACAAGAAAATTCACACATACACTCTCTATCGTTAGCATTAGCTCCCTTGCCTCAAAATATTTCTATCAGCCATCCCTTGCCGATACTAGACATAATACGTGAACAAGCCAGTTGTTTCAATCGGCAGTTGTGCTAGACTAAGTGTTGAGTGTGTTTTTAAAGATGTTGCAATGCATTGCCTAGGTGCTGACATGGATATTATATTGATATGGAGATCTAAAGACCTCTGTAGTAACTTGTACATATTACTGTGTTCAGATTCATGTAGTTTTAGTGAAAGCAGAGGGCTACTGATATGGTGTGAGCAAACTTCCAACTGTGAGGCATTGATACAGTGTAAGACAGATAAGGGGATTTCTGCTTTCTCTGTGTTCCTAATGAAGATATATTGTGATGCAAGCCTATACTTTTATCATTCTATAATAGTTAATCGTTGACATTTGTAATTATTACGGTTCTTTAACGTTGAGCATTTTGCTGCATTGTGAAGGAAACAGTGTGACAGAAGAAGAAAAAAAGTTGACAAATGTGATTTTGTGCAAGTGTGACAGTTTTACAGAAGTGTGCCTGTTTTCATGAAGAAATGTCTGATGCTCAAAAGTAGTATTTTATGTGGTTACACCTCAGAGTATGCAAGTATTTTAAAAATCGAGTTTTGAAGTATAATGTCTGTGTCCCTTTAGTTAACAAGGTAATGAAGAAGACAACCATTGTTTTTTGTTTCTTATGATTAACAAAGACTTAAGATAGAAATCAGTGTGATTTGTATATTGCAAGTTATAACAGGACTTGATGTAAATACCAATGTATATATACTGCCTGTATTTATAAACTGTACAATCATTTGAAGTAAATTATTCTGGTGTTTGAAAAAAAATTGAAATGTGCCTAATAGATGTGTTTTAATGTTCCATACCTGTACTAGCCTATATATTTGCAGAGAGGATGTAGGACTCTGGTGCTATAATAGGTCTGGTAACCAGGCTATACCAGTACATATACTAGTATGCTTCTGGGAACATGTCACTTCTGCCATCGGAAATAATTATGCAATTCTACAGCCAACTGCTAGGTGGTGCTGTTTGTGATTAACATTTTCTTTGGTGACCCTGCAATTGGAATTTCATGAGAAAATCGTCTCCATTTTCCCACTTGTTCTATCAGTCAATTTGTACTTCAACACATTCAAGACTCCGCAAACAAAGGTGGTGTTTGTCTGAAAGTTCTATATTTTCAATTCGAGACAACAGAGCTTTATGCAAAGTTTGTTGATTACTGAACAATGAAGAAGTCAGAACCCAACACTTGCAATGAATCATCTTTATCCTTTTAAGAAAAACTCTAAAATTAACGGTTAACCTATTCTATAACTCTACTCTCCTCTATACCCTGTCTATGACTTATTAGCTTAACACTAAGTTGCCCTATTTTCTGACAAAAATCACACTAAGTTTGCTAGTCTAACATCACATTGGCAACAGCATTTCGAATGTGGCTTAGGGCACTCCAGACGATCGTTAACTGCCCCTAATTATTAATAAAATGGCAATACAACAATCATTAGTATCCATACAATTTTCAAGCCTATGAATGTTTTAATTACTCAAAGCCTTAAAGGTAACATTTGTCTGAAAAATTTAATGAACAAAAATCATTTAATGGAACATCATCAACAAGAGAACTTTTTTCTTAATAGCTGACCCTACTTGGACCATAATACTTAAGAAATATCAGTATCATCTAACACATGGACAAACCCTCCATCTAATGAATGAGATGAACACCTTATTTTTACATTATACTTCATTAGGAGCAGGAAGAAATGTTAGGAAGAGTTGTGTGTTAACATGTTTCTTATTTTCTCTTAGATTGTTCCTGAAATTCTTTTCTACTGCCCTGTGCCAATTTTGTTCTTATAAAAAAATCCTGATGCAATTCTTCCATCCCTTTCGGTCCTTCGTGGTATGTCTGTAAACATATCAGTTTGACTGTGCTATAGTTTCATCTATTTGGTGAAATACATAATCTTCAACTTGTTAAACCCAGTCTACACCAAACATCCTCTTGCAAAGCTTGGAAAAGAAATCTGATGATGACTACATTTGGCTGTAGCATGGCAGTATGTCATGAGTATCATGATTCCCAAACTATAAAATATTTGCCAAAAACATTGCCAAATTCCCCGGAGAAACACACCTCACTACATCTACAATCTATCTGGAACCTGGAGTGACTTACATATATCCTTTAATAGGTCAAGACATTCTCTAAAGATAGGACATCTTACAAGTGCGAGACAAGCTTCAAAGAAGCGTAGGACATTCAAAGTCAAATGTGGAGTCTTTCTTCTCTTCTAAAGAGGACAGAGTTTCAAAGTGTTACTGCCTTTTTCAGACAACGTGGCAATAGGTTCATACACATTATTTGTGTACGCTCACCTAGCTATGTAATACACAGTCCATCACTCAAAAGATTACAAGACAGTGAAGTAACTTTCTTTCTGAAACTCTTAGAACTTTCGGAACCATGTAGATGCAGCTGTGAACGCCTCTGGAAGTGGAGAGGAAACTGTACAAGTTTTGTGGCGCTTCACTTGCGGATAAAGTCGGTGACTGCCTCCATGAATTCCTTGGGTTTCTCCGAGTGGACCCAGTGGCCAGAATCTTCGATGTGCGTCACCAGAGCCTTGGGGAACAGCCTCTTGATTTCAGGGTAGCTAGACTCACTGGGGAAACAAATCATGCAGTATGTGAGTAAAATTGGATTTGTTTCTAGGGATGTAGAATCATGACTTAAAAAACAACAAAACACACAAAAATCTATGAAAGTTGTGGAGCAATCTGCGAAACCTTTGGTTGCTCAATGGCTTTTCAGAAGTCTTAGATTCTAGTGGAAAGGGGTTCTAAGAATAACAACCTTTGTTAGTGCGGTCTAACATACCTTATATAGGGGGACTTGCTGCCACCCAGGAAGAGCGTGTCGCCATGGTAACTGACGTGTTTGAACTGAGGGAAGCTCCAGATCTGCTCAAGGTTCTTCTCGATGGCGTCGATGTTGACGCGCCAGCTGAACCAGCCATTGTCATCCTCCACCAGATTGGTCAGGATGAACTGGCGCACACCCAGGTCCTGAGGTACGGGGGGAGGGATTGGATCAGAGACCTATGCTGAATGTCAATCACAATTAGCCGTTCAACCAATGACAAAATGGCAATTAGTGGTTTGGCCAATGAGAGAGTGGCTGCATGTCTGTTGAATGTTTGCAATTTTCTGTATTCTTATTTAGCATTTCTATGTTCTGATAGAGGTAGAGTATAAGGCTTTAGGATCGGTCTATTGCAAAGATTGAGTGTTTTCCTTTAAAATGGTACCTTACATGTTATGATCATGGCTTTCTGTGCAGTGAGCACTGTGACTGATTTCCATTGAGTGCCAAGTTGGATTTATGTAGAGAGCTCACAAGTTGGTGAAGATGGAGTTATAATTACTGGTGGTCGATTGATCAATCTAAGTTGTTGAACTTTTTGTGCTGAGTATCTGTACTCACAGGGATGGTCTTCAGAAGTGTCTTGTCTGCCTCGGAGCGTGTTTTAGACAAGGTCCACTCCGTGTGAAACTTGACATTCTTCATCCCCTCGATGATCTTGGGGAAGACTTGCTTCCCCGCGGACGTGGTTGGCGTGGTGTCGACGACAATCAACTTCTCCACGAGTTCTGCCTGCGGAGGTTAGGACAGCGGTTCATTGGCCGGGGACTAGGGACAGGGTAACACACCTTCTGCACAACAACAGACACAGAGACAGACAGAGGAGAGAGTTGGGACAGGGAGAGAGGGAAGAGAAACTAGTCTGGGGACCAACTAGGCTAGATTTAGCCTGACTACACCATGCTTCTACCAGCCCTACCAATGGTCAGGCCTTTAGAAGCTTGATGGGAACATTATCCTGTTGGTTTATGAATATGTCCTAACATGGACTAATTATTGTTGTATCATAGTTTTGGAGGCTGTGGTGACTGCTTTCCATATAATCCAGAGTTCCTATTGGTAGTTCTGGGAACTGGAATGGTTCTATGAAGTTAGAGGTGTATGGTCACAAGCTCTCAGGAGGAGGCCCAGTCAGCCCCTGATCACACAGTGAGAGATTGTGTGACACAGGCTAAAGGCTAGATTATGTCCACTCCTATAGTTGCTATTCTTCACTATAAGACAGGGTATAAACAAACCAGGAAAGCACTCAGGCTAGATAGAGAAGAGACAGGGAGAAAGGCACATACAGGCTCAGCACAGACACAATTTTTACATATAGAAGTTGACACCACAAGAAAGAACTGAACATTCACGAAAGCAAACAGAAACGGGACAGTGATAAAAAAAAAAGATTTGGAAGAGAAAACTCAACAAGTGTGGAAACTGGATCAGAACAAAGGTAAAAGGAGAAAAAGTTTATTCAGCCCTATACACTTACCTGCTGAAGTGCCAAGGTCATGGCGATTTTTCCGCCCATGCTGTGGCCAATCAGGATGCCCCGCTCCACCCCCTCCTCCTTCATGGTCGCTGCCACATCCGCCGCCATAGACGGGTAGTCCATGACATCAGTGTGCTCGCTCTCACCATGGTTACGGATATCTATGGCAATAATCTGTGGGGAAAAGAAACAAGAGAGTCAACAAGAAATCTGAGATTTCAGACTAACAGATTCTGAAAGTGTTTGGGGTTTTGGAACTGTATTGTACAATCACAGGGATATAGTAACATACCTTTCTGTCGACTTTCCTCGTCAAGAGCCTGCTTATAGAATGCCAGTTCTGCTTGGAGCCGAAGAGCCCGTGTAGAATGACCAGCGGGGATGAGTTGCCATCTGGTCTCTTGCCGTACGTATCACATGCTAGCTTTACTGTGCTGGAATACAAAAGAAAGGCAGATGTGATATTTATGTATCAAATAGGTAGGGAGGGCAGAGTTGTGACCTAATGCACTTTTGACCTGAGTGAAGATTGAGGATTGGATACGGCATCTAGATCTACTCTCATTTCCTCAGGCATGACATCAGCTGTATCTATCTACTTTATCTGGGGTTACTCTGGGCTCAGTAGTTACAGTAATTCCTGATTTGTTCACTGTACTGATAAGTTCACTGTTTTCACTGTTGCTTCTGTACAGTGAACTTATCATTACAGTTAACAAATAATTCCTGGACTTTCTTTTTTCTGCACCTGTCACCACCGTGAACATATAGTTCCGTGAACATGTCCATTTTTCTCAGACCGTGAAATTTAGCTACCGTGAACATAAAGTGAATTACAGTAGTATCCATCCTTCTCAAGTTCTCAACCTGAAGGTCAACAGTTCAAGTTCGAACCACCTGTTGTTCCTCAAACCACTTGTATTCCTTAAGTGGGCTTAAAATGGGAAATGATTCTTAAACGCACATTTTGGAGGAACAGAAGATATCAGAGAACCAATTTAAAGGGATTACTCAGTCGTATATTTTACGAGTATATGTTGGTTACAACCTTCTCCCCAGGACATAGTGTTAAACTGGCACAATACAAAGACACTTAGATCATCAGTTCAGTTCAGTTCAGTTTTTATTCGCACTTTAAAACAAAATACAGACACAAGAAAATATAAATGAAATGTGACAGTGCAGGGAGGCCGGAAGCATAAAATGCTTATGAGGAGGCCTCCCTTCATAACTTAATTAACAATTCAAATTAATCGGATAAATAAGAAATAACTTACTAGGTAACGGGTAAATGAAACAAAACAATAAAATACAATACGATACATTACTATCTACAATAATGAAAAGTAGTAATGAAAAGTAGTAAACAAGGAACTTAAACAAAAAATTAAGAAATAGTGTGGGGTTA